TAAACAAATTTCATCCGTTCTTTCTTTTTTTCTCCATTCGCTTATTTCTATCATCATTTATTATTATTATTATTTCTCCAGATTTTTAATTTTCAATAAAATTCCAAAACCTTTTCTAATATATTTAATTGAGTAGTCAAAAGAGACAAAAAGAAAAGAAAAAAAAAGGGGGAGGAAAATTTTTTTTTTTTTTAATTAAATTATTTAAACTTTTATTATTATTATTACTATTATCATTATTATCAATTTGTTTTTTGCCTTTAATTTTTTTTAAAGGCAGTTGCCTTTAAATTCGTAATTCATTTTTTATTTCTTAAACTTATAGATTCTTTTTAATAAAAAAAAAAAAAGAAAATATATCGATTAGAAAATTGTATTTTTTAGTTTTCTGTCAATTTAAAGTCTTATACGTCATCCCGGTTATTCCCAATGAGAAAAAGAAAAAAAGGAAAAAGGAAACGGGGGAAAGAGAAAAAAAATTTAAAAAAAAAAAAAGTTTTATAAAGTTTTTTTTTTTTTTTTTAAAAGAACAAACGATTCCAAAGTGAAAAATTACATTATATAATTTATTTCTCCAGGAAACGTAATAATTTTGTTATATATATATATAAAAAAAAGAAAGAAAATTATAACTTTATAATTTTTTTCTTTACCTTTAATTATTATTATTATTATTATTATTATTGATTTATTTACAGTAAAAAAATTTTTTTCTAGATATTAAACATATTTTTTTCTTCTTATAATTATTAAACGTTTCCTTTTAGAATTTTCTAGGGAGAAAATTGTTTTTTTTGTTTGTTTGTTAGTTTGTATCCAAAAGCTAACATTAAATTTCATTTTTTTTCGCATCCGAAAGCTAAACATTAAATTTCATTTTTCCGTTAAAAAAAAAAACATTTCCTACGTTAAAACTAATAATAATAATAGCGATTATAATAATAATTTTATTTATTTAAAAAAAAAATTAATTTAAGTATAAGAAAATTATACTCCAGTTTTTTTTTTTTTTAAATTTCCAGATTTTTCTCCCCCCCCCTCAAAAAAAAAAGGAAAATTTTTTAGCTTTTCCGGGTGTTTTTTTTCGTTTTTTTTACTAATCGAATCGAATCGAAATTTTCAAATGTCAAACTCAGAATTTTTTTTTTTTCTTTTTTCCAAAATTACAGAAAAAAAAGAGATGAGGAGTGAGGTGGAGGGAGAAGTGGGAGAGGTTGTAGGGGGAGGGAAAAAGGAAACGTTCGTCGTTTAATTTAATTATTTACTTATTTATTTTATTTATTTTTTTTTTTGCCTTCGAGAATTAAATAAATATGGCGTCGATAGTTTTTGTTTTTTAGAAAAATAAATAATAAGCAAATTACGTCGTTTTTCCTTAGGGAGTTTTTTGGAGGGGGAGGAGGGAGAAAAGCAAATTCGGAAAATAAAATAAAACAGGAAATATTTCTCATTATTATGAAGACGATGACTTTTTTTTTTTAATATCGGAGCGATTATTTAAAAATACCGAAACGATATTTATTATTATTATTATTATTATTATTATTATTACGTAATCTTAAAGAAGTAGAAGGAAAAGAAGGAAGTTTTCATTTCAGGTTTAAAATTTAAAAAAAAAAAAAAGAGAGAGAGAGAGAGAAACGGATGTTTACACGAATGAGATAGAAACGAAAATAGGAAAATGTTTTTTATATGTAAAACTTTTTGTAAACTTTGGTTTATGTTATGTTTTCATTCATTCCCCCCACCGAACGTTTTTTAAACTATCAACCTCCTCACCCTTCCCCTCCCAATCCATCCGAAAGAAAAATCATATTCTAAGCATTATTAATAACGAAAAATGACGATGATAATGATAAAACGACGATATCAAAAAAATTCATATTGGGATTAGTAAAAAAAAAAAAAAAAAAAAAATTTCTCATTGGTCGATCGTTGAGTCTTTCGATTTTATTTTTTTTTCCTGTTTTCATTCTCTATGAAATTGTTTATTATTAAATAAATAAATAAATAAATAAATTTGTTTCGTTTTTATTTATTTATTTATTTATTGGCGACTAATTTAAATTCGACTTTAATGTTTTTTTTTTTTTTGTTAAAAAACCTTAGGTTCCATTTTGTTTATTTTTTTTTCTTTTTTTTTGTATTTATTTTCGGGCGATGGGTCGTTAAAAAAGGAAAAAAAGGAACAAAAGGAAAAGCGAAAAAGAAAAAGAGAAAAAAAAAGAAAAGCAAAAAAAAAAATTTTTTTTTTTTATTGGGTTGTGCTTTCCGGCTAATGAAAAAAAAAAGAAAAAAATTTTTTTTTTTTTGTAATGAAAGATGATTGGATTTATCAAAAGCTGATTATAAGAAAATAACGGTATTTTATATTTTTCCTTTTTTTTTTTAAATATTTAAATATTCATTGATCTTTACCCTGAATTTTATTTTATTTTTTTCTCCAGTTTTTTTTATTTTTATAATTATTAATTCCAGTAAAATAAATTCATTAAATTATTATTATTATTATTATTATTATTATTATTATTATTATTATTATTATTATCATCATCGTTATCAGTATATTTTAATCAACGAAAGATTTTTTTTTTTAATCGAAAAATTTTTTTTTTATTTGAATTGCCTCGAGTCGTAAATTCGAGAAAAAAGAAAGAAAATCTAAAAAAAGAAATAGCGTTTCGAAAATTATTATTATTATTATTATTTTAATGTTTATGTTGGTAATAGGTGGCGGTGTATAAATATATACCGGAAACCAATAAAAAAAAAAAACGAGACGACAGATAGAAAATAAAATTTTTGATTTGGCAAACACAACGATAATGATGGCCAATTCGTAATGGAATTATTGTCGACATTTTTTTTTTTTATTTGACGAAAACTCCTCCTCCTTCCTGTCCTTTTTCCCTTCCCGTTTCCTCTCCTTTCTCGAAAGAAAATATGTTTCCCTTTGATAAAAGTAAATATTTTAAATCCCTCCTCTCCTTCCACAACTCCTCCTTTCAAATTTTTTATTACAAAAATTTCATTCCAAAAAAAAAATTTTTCTTTTTTTCTAATTTAACCTTTAACCTTTTATATTAAAAATAAAAGTAGAATGAAGGGAAAAGATAGAGTGGAGGGAATTAGTAATTAATTACCGAAATTAATCAAGGTTTAATTATTATTATTATTAGTTTTTTTTTTAGATGATCAATTATTACTAAAAAAAATTAATATTTAGTCATTAGTAGAGATTTAAAAAAAACTTTTTAAATAAATCAAACGTGGAAAAGGTTTTTTGAAAAAACCTGGGGAGAAAGGGAGGGGTTTTCCAATTGGACTTTTATTATTAACCCTTTTTTACACTCGAGAAAATCTCGGAAAATTAATAATAATAATAATAATAATAAATATTAATTCGTTAATTGAAATTATTTTTCATTTATCAGAGAAGAAGAATGATGACCGTATTCGTTCGTACGACGGTATGACGTAAAATTAATTATTTAAAATAATAATAATAATAAAAATAATTTCATTTATCACTATTATTATTATTATTATTATCATCGTTATCGGTAAAAGGTTTATGACGTCATAAAATAATTAAAATAATAATTTTTAAATTCGAAATTAATTTATCGATGAAATTTTTCACTTTTTAAAAAACGAAAATAATTTTTTATAATTTTATTTATAAGAATTTTTTATCGAGTGATTGATTGATTGATTGATTGATTGACTGATTGGTTGTTACATTGAATGAATAAATGAATGAATGAATGAATTTTTTTTTTCATTTTGTTTTTAATTTCGTAAGTTTTAATATAAATACGCAAACGGGGGGGGGGGGGGGAAAAACTAAAAATACACGAAACGGAGAAAAAAAATTTTTTTTAGCTTTCACAAAAGGATTTTAATAATGATAATAATAATAATAATAATAATAATAATAATAATAATAATAATAATATTAAAGTTTAGTATGATTATCATCATCATCGTTATTTCTTTTATAAGAACATTTATATTCGTAAAGAAAAAATTTTTTTTTGCTTTTATTTTTTAAAATAATTAAAATGCTAACTAAAAAAAAAAAAAGAGGAAAAAGAAAAAAAGGAAAAGTAAAAAGGAAATGATGGGAAGAAAAAAAGGAAATTAGAAGCGATTATGAATAAACAAACGATGATAAAAGGAAACTTAGTGATAGAACAACAACAACAACAACAACCCCTTCGTTTGTTTTAAATACGCGCCAAAAACGGCGGAAAATGTTTTTTTTTTTTTTTTTACAAAGGAAACGTATACAAATGATGACGTAACGCTAATGTTTTTCGTCGTTTTTTAAAAAAAAAAATCATTAAAAATTAACTGTAAAAAAAAATAATTTTTTTCATCTTTTGTTTGTTTCCTGGATTTAAATATGTCGACCATCCCGCACAAACAACAAATGATGGGGACAACAACAAACAATCACATACGCGAAACGTAATTTAATTTATTTCAACAAATTAATTCCCTTATATGAATTTTTTTTTACATTCGACTCACGACGAGTTATTCTCTTTTTTTTAATTATAATAATAATAATAATATTTTTTTAAAATTACATGATAACGTCTGATAAATGATACAAACATCTGTAAAAAATATAAAATTTAAAAGCGGCGTTAAAATAATGAAAAATGTCTTTTACGGTTAAAAAAAAAACCATTTTCTAACCTAAAATTTATTACCACAGTTTTTTTTTTTTTTTTTACGTTAAAAATTTTATAAATTCATTTTTAAAAAAAATAAAATTGGTTTTTTTCTTTTTATATACCGGATACGCTCCTGCCGAGCGTCCATGAATTACGTCATTAAAAAGAGAGAAAGAGTAGTAGAGAAACGAATCGTTTTTTTTTTTTTTTCGTTAAATTTATACTCGTAATTAATTTATTATCATTATTATAATTAAAATAAAATTATTATTATTATTTGTTTTCAGGCGTTTACTGCCACCTGAATCTCCAGCAAATAGACGGCCCTGCATTTACAACAGCCGGTAAAACATATAAAGTCGTTACGCAAGATACAATCGTTTTACCCTGTGACGTCATTAATTTGGGTGAGAATTTTTTTTCTATTTTTTTTTTTCTTTTTTGACGTTTGGGAATGAAAATTTTTGTTTTTTTTTTCTCCAAAAAAAGGAAATTACGTTTTGGTATGGAAAAGAGGAATCGCAGTACTTACCGCTGGAACTGTTAAAGTGACTCCAGATCCGAGAATTCAATTAATCGACGGTTATAATTTACAAATACGAGACGTGCAAACTCACGATGCTGGAAATTACATATGTCAAATCGGTACCATGGTACCATTGGAAATAACTCACACTCTCGAAATACTCGGTGAGTTTATTTATTTATTTATTTATTTATATAAATCCAAATCAGGACCGAATCTAAAATTTTGGCACGAGTAAAAAAAAAGAAATGTACGACGTAGACGACGTACGAAAAACTTTTAAGGGTAAAAATTAATGAAGGGTGAAAAGGTGGAAAGGGAAGAAAGAATGAGACAGAGAGAGAAAGAAAAAAAATATATATATAGATTCATAAATAAATAATAAATTTTATATCGTGATATATATATATAGTTATTATTATTATTATTATTATTGTTATAAAAAGTCATAGATAAAGAAAAACAATCGAAAAAGCGGAAGTGGAAATGTAAAAAAAAAATAAGGCGAGGGAATATATGATTTCCATTTGAAAGGATTTTTTGACATTTGAATTTAGATGTTTTTTTTTTTTTTTTGGTTGATTAACCACCGTTTTTACTCTTTTCTTTCCTTTTACTCTCTCTCTCTCTCTTTCCTTTTAACTTTTACTAACCATTTTCCTATTTATTTCGACGTTTTTACGCACATGCACGCAACCAAAAAATATATATAATAATAAACAAAAAAAAGATTTTAACGTCTTTTTTTTTCGTGACGTCACAGTTGTTGTTTTTCCCGGTAAAAAAAAAAAAAAACGGATTCGATCGAAAGAAGAAAAGAAAATTATTTTTATCCGTGTGTAAATAACAACACTACCTCCTCCCACCCCACCTCAATTAATTATAAAAAAAAACGTAAACAAATTTTTATTTTTATTTTTTGTCGTCTGCTTTTTTGTTTTTGTTTTTGTTTTCATCCGATTAAAAGAATCGTTGTTGTTGTTGTCGATTCTTTTAAATTTAAAAACATTTTTTTTTAATTTTTGCGGTTGGTGTCGTCATAGTCGATGACGTCACATTCCCTCCGCCATTTTTTTTTCTCTCTATTATTTATTTTTTCAAATAAATCATAAAAAAGTTTTTTTTATTTTTAAAAAAAATTTTCCACAACGAAACCCGAAATTTTTTTTTTTATTTTATTTTTTTCGGCGGGGGGAGAGGAGTGAGGGGGAGGGGAAGGAAGGAGGGAAAATGAGAAAATTTTTTTCTCTGCTGTTGTTGATTTTGCAGTTACGACGGATAAAAAAATTTTATAATTATAATAAATGGAATTCAACCTTTTTGAAAAAAAAAAAAATTAAATAAATAATAAATTTTTTTTAAAACTAAAGTTAATGAAATGAATGACATCATTGTTTATTATAAGACCCCCAAAGGATTTTCTCTTTTACTTTTCCTTCCGCTTCCACCTCCCTCCTCCCCTCTATCTCTCTCTCTTTCTCTTTCGCCGCAGCAGCATCATCATCACGAAAATGGGTCGAACGAACTAAATAATATATATAAATTGAAAAAAAAAAATTTTTTTCTCATCCAGGTACTCTTTTTTTTTTTTGTTGTCACACATAAAAGCGCAAATTTATTGTCCTTTTTCCGCAAAAGTTAACAACAGCAACAGCAAAAAAAAAAAAAAAGAAAAACCGAAATGCAAATTATGACTTTTTTCACGCAACTTTAATACGTATAAATGAAATTTTAAATTTATTGTTGTTGCTCTTTTTTTTTTTTTTTTTAACTTTTGACTTTTTTTTCTTTCTTGCGGTTTCCTATCCAGAATAAAAAAATATTTATATTTTTCCAGGAAAATTATATATATATATATATATATATTTATCCAGTACGTATATTTTTTTTCCAGAATTGAAATTTTTGTGCGTTTGGAAATTGGATTTAACTAATCTTGTAGTTTTATTAAATTACGATCCATTTCTCGTGCAAAAAAATAAATGTCAAAATTATCAATAAATTATCATCATTATTATCATTATTATTATTATTACTATTATTATTATTATCATTATCATCGTAGTAATAATTTTCTTTTTTTAAACGACGTGTTTTTTTTTTTTTTAATATTTTTGAAATTTTTTATTTTTGTTTTACTTCCTGGAATCATCCTTTAGATAGAGTTTTTTTTTTCAGTTGGTTCCAGGATTTTTATATAAATTTCCAGCCGGAAATGTTCGATGGTCAAACATGAAAAAAAAATTTTATTCTTAACTTTTCTCATTCTTATTAATTTTAAAATAATGATGGTAATAATAACAATAATTAAGGTTATGGAAAAAAAAAAAAAAGGTTTTTAGATTCTGTCACGTGACGTTCGAATCTCAATCGCCCTTCCCCCTTAAAATAAATGAAAAGTCGCCATTTTTTTTTTTTTTTAAAACGTCAAAACAAAAAAAATAAAATTGTTTAAATGTTAAAGTCGAAACCTTTTATAACGACGAAAAAGGTTCGTTGGAAGGTTTTAAAAATTAATTTTTTTTTTTTTTTTTTGAATTATGTTTTACGTATTTTGATTTATTATTATTATTATTATTAATAATTTTTTCGAACTTTTATGTTGTTTTTGTCGTTGTTGTGTGTTGACTTTGACATTGTTTTTATTTTATTTGATTTTATGTTTAATAACAAAAGTTTAACAAAAAAAAGGTTTTGTTGTTGTTGTTCCCTTTTTTTTTTTGTTTTCTCAACAACAAACACGAACACACAACATTCAATTCAAAAATAAATTTTTTTTTTTTTTTTTTTCCCCGAGATATTTTATAATGCGAATCGAAAAAGCAAAAAAAAAAAAAAAATAGTCGTGCCATTAGAAAGAATCAGAGAACCGGAAACATTTTGATGGAATAAAGAGCTTTTCAAGTGGCGAAAAAGAGAGAGAGAGAGAGAGAGAGAGAGTGAGATAGAGAGGAGGGAAAAAAATAGCGTTAATTTTTACTACATTTTTTTTTTTTCCCTCCATAAAAATAACAAGTGATGAGATTGAAAGGAGATGAGGAGATAAACGTGGGAGGGAAAGGGGGGCGGGAGGGAACCGTAGGGGCCGGAGCTGAAAGATGTAAGTGAAAAGCATAAATTCGTTTTTTTTTTTTTTTAAAATAATAATAATAATTTTTTTTCATATCTGTCGCCGTTAATGGAATCGTTTTCGACAAAAAAAAAAGGGGAGGGGAGGAGATGGGAGAATAAAATGGAAAAAAAAAAATTTTTTTTTTTTAATATTTTTTTCTCACCTTTTTATTCACCGACAACCGCCACCACCTCCCTCCCCACCTTTGCCTCCCCGCCAAAATAAATAAAGCATTCGAAAAAAAAAAAAGAAAATTTTTTTTACTGGAGAAAATTTAATTATAAATAAATTCAAATGTCAATGGGACACAAATGAAGTAAATTTAATTTTATTTATATATAATATATAGCAACAACAAAAAAAGTTTTTATTTACTATAATAATATAGCGCTATAATTTTTTTTTTATTTTTAATATAATTAAAAAAAATAATAATAGAAAATTAATTTTTTATAAAGAAAAACTTAAAAAAATTGAAATGAGATAACAAAAGCTTTTTTCTTTTTTTTTTTATTAACCCAGGAGACATGCATTTCGGTCTAACCTCCCTCTCCACCCGGTAGTAGGGAGAGTGTGGGGAGACTCAGCCGAAGCCACTACTCCTGGACATGTTTTACCTTCCTTTTTCCCGGAGAAAGGGGCTTTCGCGGGAGTACCTGCTTTTCACCCACTCCTGAGCCAGAACCATCAGGTTCATACTCGCGAAAATGGAAAGATCCCCCTGAGGAAGATCCCCGTACTCCCCCTCTTTCCTTCAAAAGACAGTCCTGAGCTGCCACCATCGTTCCTGCCTCTTCCAGAGAAAGAGAGAGAAATATGTCCGAGATCGTGAATCTCGTTGATCGTTCATTTCTCTTCTTTTCATGTCGTAGCTCCGCATTTATCCTATTTTAGATCCTATTTTAGACTCACTCTCTCAAACAAGGGTCGGCACATCCCCAATGCTTCAAAAGGGTACTGGGTCACACTTATCCCCTAATGTAGGTACAGGACAAGCTGATATTGAATTCCCACTCCCAAGATTTGAACCCACGGCTCTCTCAACTCGGTGACTTTTTCGGTTTTAAGCTGGCGACCTTGAGCTCCCCTAAGGCATCCAACTTTAAGATTTATCCCAATGTGTGAAACCCAATCCCAGAACCCCCCCCCCTAAAACATTCTCTATACCATCCTCCGAGTAGTTGAATTATAGGAGTACATCATCACTTCCGGCTGAGATAATAAAACCTTTGTTTGAATTTTTTCCTTTTTCCCCCGCTTTTCTGAATTCGAATTTTTTTTTTTTTTAATGGAGTCCGAAATAGAAAAAAAATTTTTTTTTTTTTTTAAATTTATTCGTTTTCACGGATAATTAATAAAAAAATTTTAAAAATCGTTAATTAATTTCATATTAATAACCGAAAAGTAAAAAAAAAAAAAAAAGAAAATTTGCTGGAGAAAACGCGCGGTCTGGAGAAGAATAATAATAAAAGTTTTTTTTTATTTTATTATTTTATGAATTTTTATGTAATTAATAATAAAACGGTAAATTTAAGTTTTTTTTTCCAGTTTTTTTTCTCTCTTTTTTTCTGGAGAAGGGGAGGCGGAGATAGGAAGAGGGAGGGGAAGAAGAAGGTTTCCAGTATTGATTTCTTTCCGTCGCCGTAATTTCGGATCCGAAAGAATATTTCAAAACCGACTCCCCGCAAAAAATAATAATAATAAATCTTATGATGTTTCGGATTCTTTATACATTATCAACTTTTTTTTTTTTATTCTTTTTCTCCAGCAAAAAAAAAAAATTTTTTTTGCTGGAGAATATGGATTAAAGAGCTATTAATGTAGAGTGAGAGAGAGAGAAAGAGAAAACGATATACGTGGAAATAGATATTAAAAAAAAAAAAAAAATCGGAAAGGAATGAGGCAAATGATATGGGTGGAGGGGGGAGGGACGAAAGCAAAAAAAAGAAAATCCTGGAGAAAAAGGAAGTTAAAAAGGCAGAAAAATGAAAAATGATATTGAAAAAAATAAATAAAATAAATGACCGTAATGTTTATATTTATATATTTATGTACGTTATTTATTTATTTATTTTTGAAAATTAATAAGTTCCAGAATATATCATTTTCCCTTCTCCTCTTCCTCCCTTTTTCCATTCTTTAAATTTTCCTTAAATAATTTTTTTTTCTCCCTTCTCCACACCTTTTATTTATTGTCCTTATCATTTTTCTTAGTTTTTTTTTTTACTTCGCGATTTCAGGTACAATTCAAAATTTGTTGGAATCATCATCGTTTCATTCCAGAAAATATTTTCCAGGATGAATATTTTAATCCCTTCGGTAAAATTTATATAAAAAAAAAATTTTTTACGGTTTCATCTTCCAGCATATCGAACGTATAAAAAATTTTAAATTTTTTCTGTCTCTTTTCCTCCATTTTCCTAACGCCATTTTTTTTGTTTGTTTGGATAAGATTCGTCACGTCCGGTAGGATTTTCGTCTGGAACAAACGCAAATATTTCCATGACGTCATATTTGTTCGTTGATTACGTTTAACCCCTTGTACCAAAATTTTAAAATTCACCACTAAAAATTAAATTCTTTTTTTCTCTCCATCGTACTAATCATCATCATCATTATTATTATTAACGCGACTGATATGTCAGACTCCAAAACGCTGGAAAAAAAATTTTTTTGCGGAAAATGTTCATCAAAGGAAAAAAAAAAAAAATTGTTAATGAAAATTATTAAAGTCCCACGCTTTTTTTCTCTCTCTTCTTTATCTTCGTCATTTCCCGCAGTCCTTCCTCCCTTTTCCACCTCCGGGAAAGGAAGGTGGGAGGAGGGGGGGACTGGAGAAGATGAAGGAAAAAAAAAATTAATTAAAACTGTCAGGTTGACTGTCAGCTAATGTAAAACAACAAAAACTGTTCCCGACGGGTTTTTTTTCTTTCAAATGCAGAAAATTCTTTTGTACTTTTATGATCGCAAAAAAAAAAACCTTAAAACCTTAAAATAAATAAATAATAAACTTAGCACACATACAAACAAACAAACGAACAAACGCAAACACGTACAAACAGTATAAGAGTTTATTAAAAAAAAAAAAATTCTGACGTTTAATTATAACGCGAGGAGATTATTTAAACAAAATGGAGAAGTTTAGTAATTTATAAAATTAAGTCTTTTCTCCCCTCCCTCCCCCCGTTTTTCTGCTGGAATTTTTTTTTTTATTTACTCGTATTATCATTTGTGATTTCGTAGCGTATTGAAATTTAAATAAATAAAAAAAACGGAAGGGATTCCAGTCATTCGAATTATTTTCTTTGGAAAAGGCAAGGCAAGAAAAAAAACAAATTGAAATTCATCGGTAATTTTTTCTCGTGCCACTTTTATCGTGTCAGTAAGAAATTCTTTTTTCTTTCTCTCGATTCGAATTTCAAATACTTTACATCAGTGAATTTTCTTGTCTCATTTTTTCTTTTTTTTTTTTTTACTCGGAAAACTTTTTTTTTTCTTTTTTCTTATACTTTTGCCACGGTTAATCGCAAAGACGTTTTCTCCAGCAAAAAAAAAAAAACTTTTATCAACCGGAATTCTTTTCTTATCGTGTTTAATTATCCGTATAAATTATTATAGGTGAATTTATATAATGGATAATTAAAAAAAAAAAAAGAAAGAAAAGTTCTCCAGTTTTTTTAAAAATTATTTTAACGTAAAAAAAAAGATAGTTAGTTACACGACGTTTTCTTACGTCTCACAGGTATATGAATAAAATTAAATTTACTTGATTGATTTATTTATTTCTTTAATTTTTTTTCTTTTTTTTTTAATTTCTTTAAATGTAAGAACGAAAAAAAAAGTTTTTTTATTTTAATTAGATTTAAAAGAAGAAATTTTTTTTTCGTCGTCTATTGCCACGATCATTAATTCAAACACACGCAAAAAAAAAAAAAAATTTTTTTTATTACGTTTAAATTAATTAAATTTTGTACGCCTCCCCATAATATTTATTTAATAATTTTTTTCAGTGCCACCGAGAATACATCACGTCACTTCCGGCGGAAATGTTGAAGTTAAAAAAGGTCAAACGGTTACGTTAGAATGTCGTGCATCTGGAAATCCAGTTCCGTCCGTCGCATGGAGTCGAAAGGTAACATATTTATTATTATTATCATTATTAATTTGATGATTTTTTTTAACGGTTCGGAAAATTTTTCATTTATTTATTATTAACATCGACATATTTTCTTTTTTTTTTACGTCGTCGTCTGCTTGTTTTTTTTTTTTTCGTCTGCTAGTTTTTTTTTCATCTTTTTTTCTTCATTTCTTCGCATCCTTTTTTATTAACGACGCTTCTTCCCCTTTCCCCCTCTCCTTCTTTTTCAAATCGTCCTCGTTACATTATCCTTTTCGACATGTGTTATCATTATTGAAAAAGTAGAAAAAGTTCACGCGCACTCATGCACTCACGCATTCTATTTTTTCGTACGCCTATAATTAATCCCCGAAAACTCATTAAAATTGTTTTAATTAACGTAACCTTTATTATAACTTATACATTTATATATAAATAAACAATGTCAAAGAAAATTTTAAGTTTTCCCGCGTTTTCCTATTCTTCCACTTCCTCTCTCTAACCACCCACGCCTCTCCTCTCGCCCTCCCATCCCCCTCCCCCCGTTATTTATATAAAATAAAATTTATTCTCTCGAGATTGTATATATATATAATTTAATAATTTTCCTTAT